AAAAAGGATCAAGGAGCTAAAAGTTACGCTATAATGTCCACTAACGCCACTAGTTACTAAAGAATCAGCTCATGTCGTCCCATGGCCAGCAATCGAGGACATCTGAGAGTTGTAATTTTTGTACTCCTCCGAGGTGTGATTTTTGGCGTGCTGGGCCAAGCACAAGGAAGCCATCTGCTAAAAAACTGCAGAAAATGGTTGTTGTTTGATCCTTTGGTGTAATCTTTGTTTCTAGTCGAAGCTAGTTGCTGTTTGGAGCAGAAACGCTGAAATTGACTATTTTCTGCATGTACTCATACATGTACTCATGTACTCAGTCATGCAGTCTCACTCGTATTTTAGCTCTTTTCATGTTATCACATGAGCTGATTGTCCAGTAACTGGTGGTGTTAATGGACAGTGTAGCGTAACTTGTAGTTCCTTGGTCATTTTTCCTTTCCTTTGAATTCTTCCTTGGTTCTCCATCCGAGTCTCTCTATTGAGTCTTAAATTTTATCGATTGGAAACCATCAGTAACTGCAATGCTCTTAGGGCAGGGTTTGAAGAAGGAGTGAATACGTTGTCTATTCTTCTATCTGTCACTTTCTGTTTTAGAGTGTCAATTGCCCAGTCTTGATGCTTACGAGTTTGACAATGTGGTGTACAGAAAGAAAAATAAAACTACGGATTACACACCTACCAAAAGTGAATTTAATGAGGGTTTCCACATGCAGTTTCATTGCAAATATGACTCAAGATAGGGAGTTCAGTTCCGGTCACAGAAAAGCGAAAAGTGCAGTCACAGCTCGCCTGTACAAAGTGAATGGGCGAATCGTGACTGCAGTTCGAGATGCAGTTCGAGGCCCGAGTATCTTCTACCGCGGCCTTTTCGGCCTTGTCGATGCTATTTTTAGGTAGCTGAGGTCATTACCTTTCCAATGGTGCCACACATGCCATACTTCCAAAAATAATGCCTCCGCGCTTGGCGCGGATGCACTTCGAAGTACTAATTTCGACCAGATCCGTACTCGGCCCCGCGAGGAACACCCGATTTTCGTGTTCAGCGGCCTCGAATTAGCCTAAACCAAGAGGATTCTAGAACATTGAGGCTCGCGCTTTATCCCCGTAGAAGGAAGATGATCACAGAAACCAGCCCACGGCGATTTCCTGGTGGTAGACGAAAAAAATCGAGTGAACTGCGCGCACACTGTAGAAGCAGTGACGGTGAAAACGTGTGACTTGTGCAAGCAGGCGCGCACGGCATGCGTGCACACTGCATGGCATGCACACATCCTGTATCGCCATGTATGCACCAGATAGTGCAGTGCTGGACGGAAACCACACGGCTCACATACATACTTGCATTTACTTCTGTGACTACTTTCTCCCCCGTTTTCCGATCTTCAATCGACTATAACTCTAGATTGCCTTGGAATTTTGGGTTCAAATTTTCACAGGTTGTTTCTCACATCTTCCCGGTTTAGAAAAACTAGCTTTTTTTGCGAAACTCGCGAATTTGGTTTTTCGATTGAAGTCCCTACTCAAGAGGAACTGCCACGTCCATTTGCAAGGAAGGTCAATGGAAATGGTTAGGTTTGTATGGTAAAACGACAAACAAGAACACATGCTTGAAATACGGTACGTTGGTGTTGTCATTTTTGTGTTGAAACGGGTTTTATTTCACTACTACCAGTTCTGCCATCGCCAAACTAGACTACTGACAGAGTACTGGCAGAAACACAGCCGTACAGAGAAAACAGAGGTTTGGAACACGCTCAGTGTGGGTCACTACGGTTTTTGCCTGTGGTGTCCCTCGTGAAAGGTCCATAACTGGAGTAAAAATTTGAAAGTGGCGGCTTTGGCCAAACTTGTGCTTTGGCTTCATGATAATTATTGTGCCAGTCACGATACCATGCCAGGGCCGGCGCCACTGGTACGACCGGTACGGCCATGGCCGTACCAAAAAAAAAAACTTCCCAAAAAGTCGGTCTACACAACGTCCACCGGGGAGAAAAAGTTTCGATGTATGTTTTGTACAGGGAGTCGCCCAGAGTGCAGGATTTGCCGTCTAAATTCCAAAAACATTCTGGGGGAGGACCCCCAGACCCCCCTTAAAGATGGCCCTCCGGCCGCACCACTCCGCGGAAGCTGCCTCCGGCCCGGCATGCGCCATAGGGGACATATTGTCAGTGTATAGCATAGGAGTCCTTGCACCGGGCTCACGGTTTGGTTGCGCTGAACAGCAGAGTAGTAGGTGTTTTACTGCTCCCTGGTAGGAAGTATTTTGTGGTACGTAGTTTTTTCTTGGCCTTTGGCTTTTCGATTGGTTGATTTTGAGCTTTCCCCAGTCATCTTCCCACTATTTTCCCTCCCCGACCAAAGTCAGAAATTGATAAAAATGGTGATCCAGCCTGCCGACGGAATGCACGGAACGACTGTGTGCAGGTGTAGATCACTGTCACCTTCAAGCTGTTGTTGAAAATACACGATCTTTAGCATCCACACACACAGACAATCTCCAACTGCCTGTTCCTTAGAAGGTACGCCATGTAAGTACGAATCAATGCTTCATTCACCTTTCGTAGCATGTCCTCTTACAAGATGAGTGTAGTTAGAAGATAGCTTATCTCTGTCTCTCTCTGTCTCTCTCTCTCTCTCTCTCTCTCTCTCTCTCTCTCTCTCTCTCTCTCTCTCTCTCTCTCTCTCTATCTCTCTCTCTCTCTCTCTCTCTCTCTCTCTCTCTCTCTGTTTTTCTTGCTCTCTGTCTCTTCTTGTTGCAGAGTATGAGGGTTGTGTCCTAACGGAGGAGGCACTGCAAAGGCATAGATTTTACGATGTTGCAGAGGATTCTAAAAACATCTACGATACAACTCTTCGGCATGCCGAAAGAAAGGACATGAATGTGATCTGTAAAGATCCAGTAAAACAACCACAAAACACTGTTTCGACTGTTAATATTCGCTGTTCCAACAAGAATGTTTTCATTTACGGCATTCATGAGGTCTGTAGAATAGGTGAGTATAGATTGCAGTGCATGTCTTCAAGCTCGTTTGAATAGGCCAAAACAAAAAAAATAGGCTTGTTTCGGTTCGGCAACCCCTAAAAAAGAGACTCGGTCGGCCGGAATACAACTTTCTTTGGACCTTTTTTGGTTCATTAGTCGTTGTGTGGTTCATTAGTCGTTGTGTGGTTCATTAGTCGTTGTGTGGTTCATTAGTCGTTGTGTGGTTCATTAGTCGTTGTGTTATTGATTGACAGAAGCAAAATACAGTATACGTGTACATGCGCATGGACACGTACAGTCATCCCTCTCTAAAAAATCCGGCACTTGTTTATCCAGAATCCTTGCAAGCCAGCACACTTTCTGACAAAACGGATTTTTCAGTTCATTTTCTACACTTTACACTTCTACACAGCTATGTCAGTTTGGTCAGTGCACTACGTGCATGGAGTATCTTTTTAGGGAGCATTCTACACATGTAACATACCCTTGGAACTATCCTATGCACTGTATAGACATGCATTCCACGAAGATTGACAAATCCTTTTGACGTACAACACATAATAACGTGCAGTAAAACCTGTAATGGCGACACTTTTCCTTGTCATGGACGCATTCGTATTCAAAACAGCTCGGATAAGGCGACCACTCGCTCAATTCGACCGACGACCACCCACCCGCGACCGCTTCAAAAACTGCTACATGTATATTTACATGTACATGTACGTGCACGCATTGCACTGTCCATGCATGGAAGATCCACACATCAGCGCAGGAAACGTAGATGCATGCAGGGTACTGGCAGTAGGGGTCAAACGGGTACCCGCCCGTTAATCTCAGGTACCGTTAGTAAAAGGGTACCCGTTTGTAAAAAAGATGAAAAAAAGTTGGATTTCGATGATCCTATCGTATGCCAGGGCTCGAAATAGGAGTGCGGATACTCTTTTCTTTTTTCCTTTTTCATTCCCGCTTTCAACTTTGTCAGGGAGGAGCTGAAAGGCAGTCGTTCTCTTTTCCTTTTTCCTTTTTCATTCCCGCTTTCAACTTTGTCAGGGAGGAGCTGAAAGGCAGTCGTTCTCTCCACTCTAGTGCAAGTAAAAATCCTCGTACTGGAGGTTTTGATTGTGATGTGAGAAAATGCAAGACTTGAAACTCGTTCAAGGTGGCAGCTGAGTTACTAGAAAGTTACGATGGTTCTCCGACATCGAATCTGCCACAGTACTTGTGCGAGATTTATGAGTGTCAGTTGTCATATCGTCAAGGAGGGAGTGTGCGAGATTTACGAGTGTGATTTTGAGTGTGATTGGACAGGACACTGCGCTGAAATAGAATGAGTGTTGTTGGAAAAGTTGGATTTCGATGATCCTATCGTATGCCAGGGCTCGAAATAGGAGTGCGGATACTCTTTTCCTTTTTCCTTTTTCATTCCCGCTTTCAACTTTGTCAGGGAGGAGCTGAAAGGCAGTCGTTCTCTTTTCCTTTTTCCTTTTTCATTCCCGCTTTCAACTTTGTCAGGGAGGAGCTGAAAGGCAGTCGTTCTCTCCACTCTAGTGCAAGTAAAAATCCTCGTACTGGAGGTTTTGATTGTGATGTGAGAAAATGCAAGACTTGAAACTCGTTCAAGGTGGCAGCTGAGTTACTAGAAAGTTACGATGGTTCTCCGACATCGAATCTGCCACAGTACTTGTGCGAGATTTATGAGTGTCAGTTGTCATATCGTCAAGGAGGGAGTGTGCGAGATTTACGAGTGTGATTTTGAGTGTGATTGGACAGGACACTGCGCTGAAATAGAATGAGTGTTGTTGGAAAAGTTGGATTTCGATGATCCTATCGTATGCCAGGGCTCGAAATAGGAGTGCGGATACTCTTTTCCTTTTTCCTTTTTCATTCCCGCTTTCAACTTTGTCAGGGAGGAGCTGAAAGGCAGTCGTTCTCTTTTCCTTTTTCCTTTTTCATTCCCGCTTTCAACTTTGTCAGGGAGGAGCTGAAAGGCAGTCGTTCTCTCCACTCTAGTGCAAGTAAAAATCCTCGTACTGGAGGTTTTGATTGTGATGTGAGAAAATGCAAGACTTGAAACTCGTTCAAGGTGGCAGCTGAGTTACTAGAAAGTTACGATGGTTCTCCGACATCGAATCTGCCACAGTACTTGAAGATGAACTAGTGTCACCAGGCTGAGTGACCAGTCGGAGTGTCACACACGGTAATGTCCGTAGGTAGTAGCTATGATACTCATGGTTGTAGTTTGTTCCTTCAATCGACGAGCTTGGCTTAGTCGAAAAATAGTTCGAAATATTGCATACAAGATAACAGATTTGTGAAGATTCGTTTCACGAGTTCACCTGCAGCTAGCTATGGGTGCGAACCTGAATGTGAAGAGTACCAGTCCTCGGCGAACATAGCAAATAGGATTGGGCGAGATCACGGAAGTTTTGCTAAACTACTCTGTATTTTTTTTGTATTTCATTATATTTGAGGATTTCCCAAAGGCTTTGGGCCTGTCGAGGGGATCTCCTGCAAGAAGAATGAAATGACAACTTTATGTAGAGGGAGCAGTTAATCGAGGATAGGCTAAGGAAATAGATCGAGGCATACAAAATCTGGTAATTAAGGAGTTGGGATACCGTCAGTGTAATGAATATATCGGCGAAAATGCTGATAGAGAGAATGCTTGAATTCGGGGAGGCTGGTTATAGCGGTAAGAGAAGGCGGTAGGCAATTCCATAGCATTGCAGCTTTGTTGGAAAAGAGGGAAGATAAACGCACACCGTGATAATTGATGTTAATAAGTTTGTTTGGTCTTCTTGGACTTGAAGACAATGAAAGGTGAAAATGTTGGAGGTGTTCTGGAGATATGTATAAGTTTAAATAGAGTAACAAGAGCTGATACTTGTCTGCGAAAGTGCAAGGACTCTAAGTCACAAAGGGCATTTAACTGGGATTTCGTTTCGCATCTATCTACATTGACTTTTTTACGTAGAAAATACTTCCTAGCTACTCTGGCTTGTAAAATATTTAAACGCTCCAGCTCAGCTTTGGTGATGGCATAGGACCAGGCTGAGGTGGCGTGTTCAGATGCTTCGCAGCTTCAACGATGGTGATAGGTTGGGAAGAGAGCTGGATAGGGTGGTTGTTACTGTAGTTACGGATCTGGGTCGTTTTGGCTGGTGCGAACTCTCCACCGACGTTGCTGGCCCATAGTTGGCAGGCTGAAAGGTCGCTCTCTAGACGAGATTGGTTCCACTGCAGGGAATTCGTGTTATCATGATCATACAGGAGGGTACAGTAGGTGATTGATGAGGGCAGGGAATTGACAAAATTAATAATAAGAAGAGGGTTGGAGCAAGATGCGATCCCTGCGGGACTCCACAGGTGAGGACCTTGGCCTCGGAATATTGTCCTTCCAACCTTACAGACAGCCTCCGCTCAGATAAGAAGCTTCGGAGCCAGTCGACTGCTTGCCTATCAGCAATTCCTTCAAAATTCAAATGCATTTAGCAATGCTTGATGATCCACACGATCAAAAGCTTTCTTAAAGTCGAGGAAAACACAGTCGAACTTCAGCTTCTTGTCATTGCACTCAGCCATTTGATGTGTTGTCCCTGCCCTTTTGGCACGTGTGTGCCCCTTTTGGCACGTTGGTGCGGACCGAGTCGGTAGAGCATGAGACTCTTAATCTCAGGGTCGTGGGTTCGAGCCCCACGTTGGGCGCCAAATGTTGTAGTTGTTAGTCTAACACTACTTCTCCATCACTGCATCAGCTCAACCGCCACCACTGGACTGCCTTTTTACACTCTTTTTATTGACGAATAACCAAGAACACGGAAAACGACCACATCTTGACAAGACGACAGACCAAAGACTAGCTCACACAGTTTCGCGCATGCGCACAACACCACCAACCAATGACGCGTGTCCACAGCGACCAAGACGAAACAAACACGTGACACCAAATCTACCACAGATGTGTCAGCAAGAGCAATTGCTCCTCCGTAGATCGGTTTCTGACAAAACCGAATTGGGCGCTGCTGATATAACGAATGTCATGGACGAAATCACGTAGATCATCCGCTAAGATCCGTTCAAATAATTGAGGCACGATTTTGAGCAGGGAAATCGGCCTGTAGTTGCTGGGGTCCGATTGCTCTCCCTTGCCTTTGTACAGTGGTGAAACTGTGGCCAGTTTCCAATCCTGTGGGAAACAGCCATCATCTAGGCTCTTGTTCAAGACGTTTGCCAGTGATTCACAGAGCTGATCAGCATGATGGCGCAGAACAGGGACAAGTTCTGGGTCAGCGGTAGCTTTCCTCGTGGAGAGCTGTTTCATCCCCCTACACACCTGGCTTGCGCTGATAGGAGTGAAGCTGAACTTCTCGGCTAGTGGCAAGGGTTCGGTATTCGGAGAGCAATGTGAATGTATGCTGGATGAGGTACACTGTGCTGAGAAGTGGGAACTGAGCATTTCTACCTTTTCCGCAGGGGTTTCAGCGGTTACATTCATTCGGGAACGTACATTGTTAATCTGGCAGTGGTAAGTGCCCCGACGAGTGTCTTCAAGATCATCAGCCAGTCTTCGGTGTTGGTTTTCTCTGGCTTTACGCAGCTCAAGTCGGTAGGGGTTACGGGCTAGTTTGTAGTTTGTGGCAAACCGGATCCTGGGGATGCTTCAGAAACTGTCGATATAGTCTATTCTGCCTTGATTTCAGTTTCTGAAGATGGGCATTGTACCAGGGTTTTTTGTTCTTATGCCCGGTAGTAATGAGCCGCCATACTGTGCACTTGTCGAACAGAGCCATAACATGGTTGTGCCAAACAGTCCAAACGTAGTCGATATGCACATCACCCTGGATTCTTTCAACTGGAGGATATCTCAGAAGAAGTGTGGTGAACAAGGAGTGGTTAAAGCACCGCATATCTCGGATCCACTTGCTTTCCTTACTACTGGTGACTAGCTCACGTGATGTGGGTACATTTAGAGAGATGGATGTGATGACCAGACAGTGATCAGCAACAGGTGAGAGAATCTTAGATGTGGATGGGAGGTCTCGCCGATTGGTTACAGTCAGGTCAAGGAGTGGATTCGAGGTCGGTGTGGGCCTTGTACCATGTTCAGTATTTACTACACAGAGATCCTCTGTCCTTGTATGGCTTGAATCACATCGATCTGCCGTTGATTTGCGTACATGTATCAAAATACATGTAGCACTAGGACCATGTACGATTGTACCTGTTACATGTACATGGGCAAATGTATGGATGACATTCATTTGGAACCTTCATTGCTATAATATTATTATGAGACACGAATCAATTGCGAATCGTAATGTGGTATCAAAATACAACCTGAGAACATACAAATTTAAATCATGATTTATGTGAGAAATGAGCAAAAAAATTAATATGGCTGCTAAAGGGTACCCGTTAATTACCCGTTCGTTAGTTAAAGGTACACCCGTTTGACCCCTACTTGGCAGGTCTGATATGCCCCCACTCCCCCAGACACATGACTCATGAGTCGTGCGGTCATATCATGTATAATTATTGTGAATATAGTCACATGTCACGTGACCCATTGAACCTGGATAAGAAGACCACCTGGCCAAGGTGACCACTTTTTCTCATCTGAAAAGGACTGCAACAAAATGTCTGCCACAACATCACTGTATTTTCACAAGATGGAAGGATATTATTGCTGCACTGGGCATCAGTGAACTTCACAACCATGGCAAAGAGTCTTAGCCGAGTCAGAGAAACATCTCTCACCACCGATTCCACGAGTCCTGACTGAAACTCCTCATCGCCGCTGCGTTCTGCATCTGGCGGCTCTCCGTAACAAATTCGCTTTGCTGCACCTGCTCCTTCATCAGAGTTGTCTGAGGAGTGTTCGTCTGACTCGTAGTCGATTGCGGCGCTGGCGGCGCTTTCGGCACTAGCGCTAGTTGCTGACGGCTGGTCCTCACTGTCATCGCCGTAAACAAATTCCAAGTTTCTGCAAACAGGCAGTGTAAAATACATAATTTCAGCCATGTCAGAGTATGCTGGATTTTAGACACTCGGCACGAACAGCAGTCAGGACTCGTGGAGAGATGTTTCTCCGACTCGGCTACGGACTCTTTGCTATGGTGTCCTAGTATTAAAATATTTATATGAAGAAACGGATTTTTGAATATTTTGTGTCAGGTTGGTTAGCTCTCTTCCTAACCTTGCAGTCACAGTGCCAATCTATTGCAATCTATCACATACTGCTACATGTTTTGTCTTTGTTGCCCTGTTCAGTGCAACAATGTGATGCTTACCAAGAGCTTGGCTTGAATCTAAAAGCTACCCAAGTGGGAAAGAGTGCTACCCTTAAATGCCAGGATGGCTATAGACTGAACCCAAGTGCGATGCAGCCTTATAGAACTCAAGGCACTACAGTACTAACTATCCCATGTACAAGTGATGATGCGCATAACAATGGCTTCACTGTTATCGGGACATTGTGTTTCAAAAAGGGTACGTACTTGTGTGTAGCCAGTAGTAATCAGCTTCACAGGAGCACAGCCAAAACTGCTTCGAGTTGTCGTCCATTGTTCTGACAGGCTTTTGAACCTCCGAAGAGCATGGAGTCCTTCGAAAAAATCGGCGAAGCAGAATCGTTTCTCGACAGTATGTTTCCAGAACACAACCCCAGGCACGCACGCATGACACCAAAGTTCGAAAATGAGAAACACAAGTGCATTGATTTGGGCTTTGTGTGTGCGGATGCGCACCATCGACTCGTGCTGGTATAGCAGTGGCTGAGCGCTTGCCGGCTCCTGGGCACTTCTTCGAGCCACGCGGTATTTCAAAGCCAAAATCAATGCACTTGTGTAGGGATCTCAGCGCGTGCAGTGCGCAGGGTGTTTGCGCATACATTGCGTCATCGAGTTTTGAGTGCAGCTCGCGGACACAGCAGAAAAACGGTCGATTTTCGACACTAGGCCATATATATAGGGGACGCGGTGGACACTGGCGGAATCGTCATCTTCATCGTCGTTCGAACGTACTTTGTAATTCCCGCCGAAGGACAGCGTGGCCAAGGCGATATTGCCCCGGTCGATTTTCCTATAATTTTCCATGCGGCAAGAACCCACTTCAGAGAGGATTCAGTCAAAAATTCAGATGTTTTCTCCGGTTAGATTGTCCTAACTTCGATTTTCAGTGCATCAGCCATCGCGAACATCGCCGCCATTATCACTCGGAGAGAAGACATCGCGCTCAGTAGAAGAGGTGTTCACGCTGCGTCCAAGAGTGAAAGATTGTGCTCTTTGACCCTCCATAGTTCCTCTGAGAGAGTGTCTGGGAGATAGGTAGCTTGGAGATGGCCGTAGAACGTGCTTCCCTGGACGCAATATTCAGCCATTTCTACTGTCTTCTTCAACTTGATTTATTTCGAAAAAAATGTTCTTTTCCATGATTTCTGCACTGGACGCGTTTGGGATCGTTCGTTCAGTCGGCACAAAATCCTGACCTCAACATTGACGACTTGGCGTTCTTCCACAGCCTGTAGACAGACGTGTCACTCGTAAAAAGTAAAAGTAACTAGAAAGGAGTTTCTGCAGGCTGTGGAAAGGTACTGGCACAAGTACTCCGCTGCGAAGATGAGGAACGTTTGGTGGGGTCTGTATGGCTCCTTCCATGGCATTCCGGGGAGTGGCCATAACTATCAGCGCCACCGTGGAGGTCGTCAAGCTCACAGTTCGAGTGAAGAACTTGGCCATCTCCACGATCAAATCGTGTCTTGGCAACTTGTAACGGCTGCAGAACAAAAAATGGCATCGCTAGAGGCGAAAGTCAGCATGGATGCAGAGCCGATGTCATCAGAGAGTCAGTCGTCATCAGATTCAGACGAAGAGTAAGCTGAACTGCTTTGAAATGAGCTGTGTGACATCTGTGAATAAATATCTCTCATATGCTGCTTTGTTTTCCACTTTGCTAAGCATGTTTGTAGCCATAGAATGATTGGACTGAACTGTTGAAAATGCAACGAAGTTGTGAGAACAACAGTTATGGTCAAAATGTGTAGGGCGTCGTAGTGAGTTTTGACCGCAGACGCACTCGCATCGTCTTGCAATCAAATCGACGGTCATTTCGCCGTGTTCCATACCGCCAAACTTCTGCAATGCGCGCTAAGTGCATATAAGAGACAAGCGACACTGAAATATCAGATTTGATAAAATAGCTGAGTTGCTTACGTGAAAGAAAACGTCCCGTCCCGTTCGGGCCTTGTTGTACTATGCACATGCACCTCTTTCGTCTCCCCCACCCCATTTTATCCCCTCTTTTCCACGTGCCCATAGCACATTCTCTTGTCCTGTTTTGTTGGAGCTCAGTTCTCCAGTCGCCGCGTGAAGTCTGAGAAAATGCTCTCTCTCTCTCTCTCTCTCTCTCTCTCTCTCTCTCTCTCTCTCTCTCTCTCTCTCTCTCTCTCTCTCTCTCTCTCTCTCTCTCTCAATTTGCACTAGTCTTTTGTTGTGTGGCGTGGCGAGGAGAGTAATAGTAATAGTTCGTCCTTTGGGCTAGACGACTTTCTAGTGCAGTCATTTGCCGGTTTTGAGACAGAATTCGTTAGAATTTCACCTCGCTAACCCACAAAAATCCGAAAATCCCTGCCAGATAGTGACACTTTCTAGTGCAGTCATTTGCCGGTATAGAGACAGAATTCGTTAGAATTTCACCTCGCTAACCCACAAAAATCCCCAAATCCCTGTCAGATAGTGACACTTTCTACTGCAGTCATTTGCCGGTTTTGAGACAGAATTCGTTAGAATTTCACCTCGCTAACCCACAATAATCCGGAGATGTTAACTGTAATGTGAGAGTGTGAGCGAGAGAACTTCATTATGATGAGAACGGGCAAAATGACATAATGCTGGAAACGGATCATGCTACGACTAACAGAGGGAAAAGGAAATTTGAATGACAGCTGACAGACGGTAGAGGGTAAGCACTGGACTCGGATGGAGAGCAAAGGATTAATTTATACAAAAGAAAAATGGACCAAGGAACTACAAGTTGCGCTATAATGTCCACTAACACCACCAGTTACTTGACAATCAGCTCATGCGATAACATTGCACGACACTGACCGACGGTACTGACGTTCTACAACTAACTGACTAATGTTATTCTTAACATTTTCTCTGGTGGATGGTGTTTTGCACATTTCTAGGTAAGTGTGACCGCAGAAGCATTGCCAATGGATATCTGCCAGAGACATCTATCGATCAAGCCACTGCTGCTACTTGCAACTTTGGTTTTGTACCCACTAGTGTCACCGTAATGTGTGACAATGACAATGGATGGGAGAATACCAATGAAATTCTGTGTGAACGTAAGTCTAACGTGCGTGTGTGTCAGACATGCTGCAGGCGCTAAGGGATTGGCACATGGGACATGGGAAAGCAATGTCGGTGTATGCCACCTCTCGATTATGTTACGGAATCTCAGCCATTCCGTTCCCCAGGACACAAAGGACAAGTACTTGTTTGTTTTACATTATATTATTGACATTACGGAAATGGAGAAAACACTCAAGGAGACAAACAAGAAGACTGACAAAAGGACTCTCGACTACAAAATCGCGCATGCTCATATCACACATACACGCGACTAGACGAGACAGTTTGGAGAATGCCATCACACAGAAAAGCAACGCATCATTGATTTTACAACAATTATCACACTATCATGAAGGCGGAAGGAGTACTGTAAAAGCCATAATGAAGTGCAAACGAAATTGTTATACAGAAATCGATACATATACTGTCCTATTGAGCGATGAGACTGAGTGAGAATCGTTACTTAGCCAATGCCATAATGATCCATGCCTGTCCAATTTCTAACTCTGGGGCGAGCTAAGTGTGACACATTGCAGGAACAGAAACCGTATTGACCCCTGTGATTTAACCCTTTGCCGGTCTAACTCAATGTATGTGAGGGGTAATCGCAAATACATGTACACACAACCAGCAATAACTCAAGAACCTTGTGTTGTAGGTATGGGTAAACCATATATTTTCAAAATCTGTATGCCTGAACGCGTCCAGAAAATTCAAATATGACTAGGTCCAGGCAAGGATAGGGCCCATGGTAGCCCTTCAAGTTGAGAGAAAATACAATAATATTATTGCGAATGAAATACACGAATATCACAGCACGAAGGGCGTACCAAGTTCGTGATGAAGCTGACGTCGTACGATGAACAATGTGGACGTCTTCACAAGAAATACCGCCATTGAACACCAACACCTCACCATCGGCGATACGCCAGCAGCAGCAATTCCCACACCACGATATCGCAGATTCGGTTTGTTCATCTCAGCGCTGCTCGCGTCAGATTCACTCTCGCTCAGATGAGAACTCAGGCGCGAGCTTACGCATGCCGTGATTCTCACGGCGAGGCGAATCAGCTGGTCGCACCTGACGAGTCCTTGTGACACAGTCGGTCTGCACCCCCGAAAGTAAACCTACCTGAAAATTTTGATCGAAAGGAAACTGTTAGCTCCCGGCGATGCTAACGCTCATTTAGCATCCCCCCACCTCACAACAGAGCAACCGAGTTTTGCAGACTCCGCATGGAGCCGGCAAATGACTCCGCATGGAGCCGGCAAATGACTCCGCATGGAGCAGGCGAATGACTCCGCATGGAGCCGGCAAATGACTCCGCATGGAGCCGGCGAATGACTCCGCATGGAGCCGGCAAATGACTCCGCATGGAGCCGGCGAATGACTCCGCATGGCGCCGGCGGATGACTCCGCATGGAGCCGGCAATTGACTCCGCATGGAGCTGCCGAATGACTCCGCATGGAGCCGCCGAATTACTCCGCATGGAGCCGCCGAATGCCTCCGCATGGAGCCGCCAATGCCTCCGCATGGAGCCGCCAATGACTCTGAATAGAGCCGCCAAATGCTAGATTAAACGTTAGTCGAGGTATTTCCCGTAATGGGAAGATGCCAATAACGTCAGGACTTGAGCTGGACCCTCCACTTTTGCTTGGGCCAGAGAAACACCGAGGTATGTAAACGCTCGGAGCAGAATAGCAAGTTGCTGGCGAGCTAACACAAGTCCAGAGCATGCACTGAGGAAGTAACGAGCTTAGCAAGATACAGCGGGGCGAGCAATTGTGTAGTCATGTTTGCAGCATTGTCATCTTGACATTGTGGAGAGATACAGTCTGCTGGAATGTAATCGTTGACACTTCGACCCTCCAGGCTTTACAAAGGGTGTGTCGTGTGTAACTTCCGGTTCGTCTAGGAACCGCATCTACGCCGTAACAGCACAGAGACGAGAAAGGGGGTGAAGAACACGGGCCAGCTGTTTCAAGCCTGCTGCAAGAAACGGATCGTTGCGCAGAAATATAATCTGGGTTAGCATGTGACCGTGTTAAATTCAATGGATCCCAGTTAGTTGAGCGGTTGCCGATGAAACCTACCACAACCCCACAATTACGACCATGTGCAACATACCTCCGGAGCATAGGATCAGGATGTGATTCCAGTAATTTTGAGAAGTGAGAAACTGAGTGCTTACACAGTTACTGATGAGGCCTTACACTTTGCCCTGGGGTGCTCCTGTCGGCACTGGAGGCAGCACTGCCTGAGCTGACACGTGAAGCGCCGTACTCGTAGTAGCGGCATACGGTTGCGGTACGTGATGCGGATCTGTACTTATGAGTAGGACGAAATGCGCACGGAAATGCTGGCGGGTGCACTGAGCTGCACTGCTGGCAGGCGGGTCGTGCTGTTCCAGTACACCGTGAGGCGCAGTTGCCACAAGTTGATATTGATAACCTGGCTTTGGAGATTTTTTTATTTTCCACTGCTATCAGGTTCGGCTTAAGGAGGCTCCAACCCTTTGAGAATTTCTCAAACAATGTTATTCATTGATAGATCATGTAATGCGCGACCGAGTAAGTCTCAGTTAGACAGAAAAACAATGAGAGATCCTAGATACCGGAACTCCGAAACACACTCGATGACCGTGCCAGCTAGCTCGATTGGAGCGCAGTCCCCAGGCGAAACATCCCTGCCTGCAACCAAGAACTGTGTCTTGGTAGCGCTAACTTTAAGGAGGCTCCAACCCTTTGGGGGTGATTTTTTTTCTTCATAAACCCCCTCCTTTTTGTGGATGAGTGTGCTCTGTATCATCCCATGTTACTCCACAAAAAAATTCAGGGGTGTTTCCGCGAAGATAAGGCTGTTTGAGGTGTATTTCTAGGGGTGGGTGTATTTATCGATTTCGGCCTAAATTTGCTTGTTTTGGGGTCATATTTCAGATTTACCAGTTGTCTGGCTTCTCTTTGTGATTTCAAGTCCTTTCACACATCACAGTGAAGCATTTGAGCAAGAAAATCTGGCAATTAGCATTGACTACTCAGAAAAATAGCAATTTTGGTACAAAAATGAACTTAGCAGAAATGCCCGTCCGCAAAGTACAATTGGGTGCACAGCTTCAAAATTTCTTCATGGACATGCCCTTTTTATTCAATTTTTGGGATCCTCATACTTAATAGAAACTAGAAATATATAATTTTAGGGGGGGGGGGGGGGGTTACCGTGCATTTTAGACTTCCAAAAATAAAAATAGGACAGAAAATTGGCCGATTTTCCACCATTCTTGGAATTGCTATTTTTCAGGTAAGGTGATCATTCCATGCATTCCTGGTGGTATTACTCCCATTTTTTGTGTCAAAAGCATTGAATAGTCCCCCAGATTGTTATAGTATACATGGAGACTAGATGAGGCCATGGCTCCTGGGCTTTTTAGCCCTTGATCTGGATATCGGCATGATCCATGCACAACGTTATTCATGATCCAGGCCGAGGCCTGCTGACCCTGAACGCAGTTCAGACCAGCTTTGCATCACAACTCTTGCAATCGTTCACTCCTAGTAATTCTCATCAAACGCAACAGGCAAAGAGCTTGAGGAGGATAACTATTATTATATTCTGGGCCAATAACTTCACAGTTTCATGTTTGTAGTACATGTACAATGTAGATGCAGGTTCATCTCAATATTGGCAATGACCGACTGCTAGTAATTGTAGCGCCCATTAGGTATAATCATAATACTATTCCCAATAACATGGAACAACCACAAGTGTATGTGGGTGCATGCGCATTGCCCACATTGATACATACATGTACGCTTACATGCACATACTCGCACTCACAAGCAAGTACCCCTTGCACACACAAATACATGTACGTCATATACGCGCACCCGCAATAGCATACGCCCACATGTAAAATGCATGCTCTTGAGTTTAGTTACCGTATTCTGCTGTCCATGCACTTGTGCACGCGTGCGCGCGCACACACAACATGTACTGCGCGCGCGCGCGCGCGCGTGCACACACACAACATGTAGGCTCACACGCGTGCCTGCGGATGTGCATGTACGGTGCTTATGGGTACAAGTGCATACATTCATCATAATAGAACTGGTGCGAGTAGTGTAGGAATATTTTCAAATCACTGGTGCTGTACAACATTTACAAATACTTCACACTCTGACAATAGAGAACTGCAAAACAACACTCAATTTTCAGTGCTGCATTTTATGCACATAATTCAACTGGACGCAGGTGATGACTTACTGCTGACGACGTTGGCAGCTGACAGGTCACAGCTTTCGTAAATAGCCCAAGTCACTGAGCAGTAGCTCACCAACGATTTACCACTCACTCAAGACTGCAATGTTTTCAGCGTAGCATATATTTCGCCACTTGAGAATTAGAAGTGGATCCACTTACCAGAGTCTGTGCACCCACTTCAGTCTCTCTCTCCAAAACGCGCTTACAGTAGGTTTTGGTCCCTGGTGCTACACAGCCATCGAGACGCTTGGCTCCGTTCTCCTTGGTCATTTTTTCGTCAAGCAAAAATATTCAGGATATCGAGAAATCGAGCTGTGAAGTCAACTTCTTGCTCACACCAGCGATGCTTTTGAAAACATGCCCTGCTCTACCCACTGACACAACGGAAGAGAGAACAACAGGAACCTCGATGGGGCCCAGGGAAGACTCAGGTGAAGAATGAAACAATATTCTCTGATATGACTGTCGATCGCGAAGTTCAAATTTTAGTAAGTTGAGATGGGAATTTCCCTACTTTTCGCACTTATCGGCAAAAACAAGACTTTTGCCTGCAAAAAACAGAGCGCCAGACCGGCTGCGCAGCGCAGAAGGTTGGAGCCTCCTTAATTCCCTCTGTGCTGCGCTGATGAGTCCACAAAGGACGAAACAATTGTCGATAACGTCCAGTTTCTAGGTGGCAAGAACTGGCGATTGGCCGCGATGATCGTGGCCAAATACGTCCACAGGCACTTGTGAAATGCGGTGAGGAACAGTGGAACACAGACCATTCATGAACACTGTCCAGATCTCACCTCAAGTGCTACCGTCATGCAGCCTACGAAGCGCAGTTCTGGGTTCGGATTCAAATAAATGCTAGTGCGCCAGAAGAGCAACATATGAGGGGCTACGGAGTTGGAACGTCGCCGGAGCTGGACTGACTGCAACTGTATCGGGCAGCAGGAAATCGAAGTCCACGAACTCGCCTCTCTGGACACGATCGAGAAGGGCCGGTATAGGACGGGCAGGTTCACCTGCTGTTGGTGCTGCATGCGCATATGGCGGTCGTCACTGCACCGGGCTCCCAGTAGGGTCCGGCCTGCTGGCGGCGAGCGGCGATACGGATCCAAGTAGAGCGAGGAGAAGCTGGGTGGCGTTGGTGACGGCAGTGGACAACTAACGTTGTTACTTCCAACAGAAAATCAAAGTCCACTAACTCGCCTCTCTGGATACGAATTACGATCGTCAGGCTCGCGCCTGCTGTTGCAGTGGTGGTGCTGCGTGGCAGCCGTTGCTGCGTTCGCAGTAGGCGGGCGGCGGAGCCAGGTAAAGCGAGGCGATCCGGAGAGGCTGGACGCCGGTTGGTGACGACGACATTGTTTCAAGGCACCGGCAAACAAGGGTCGCTGATGATGGCGCAAGCTAAAAGTCCACAGTCGACGTTCCACTGTATACGACGACATTGTTTCAGGCACCAACAGGCGTCATTGAAGTCTGAATTTGAAACTTAGAGATACGAGAATGCAAGCTTGAAAGTCTAACGAAAGGAAATTGTTTTGGGAACACCTGTTCCGCAAGCTGCACGCTCGAAAGTCCAAACAGCAATGACATGAAAGAGACATTGTACAGGATTTTGAAGGGCGCGTGCTCACGTGACTCGCGCATGCGTGCCAGCTCGCTGGGCTGGCTGCTAACTCGCGTTAGCATGCTAACGCTCATCAAAACTGACAGGCTACAGAGACATTCAGCAACCTGAGACCTACAGAGCATGCAGAGCAGCCCGGCCCCGCCACCACTTCTCGCACATATTCGGGAATATAGTGGACTTTCATATAAAAAAAAGAATAAAAAAAAGCATGTAGCTCTAACACATCTCCAAACCAACATCTTATCATCTTGTTATAGTCGTGGATAGTTGCTGCATAACTCGTTCTCATGTGTTTTCTTCTCTTTTTTACATTTATTACTGGCTCAGTATCCGAGTTAAAATTTCTTACAATAAGATGGTATAATGATAGCTTGCATGCCGTCCTACCGGTAGGACCCAAGAAATCGCGCTGCAAAAGTGCTTTTGGTTGAGAAATTTCTTGAAACAATTGTTGAGATGAGGTCTTCATCAGGCAAAGTAATGGCGCAAAATGCAAGGCTATGATCAGTGCATTGCATACGCGCAATTTTATCAATTGTCAAAATGGCCGCACATACTCCTGTCGGAGCGCTAGCAACTCTGTCCAAAGTGAATTTTGACCATGGCACATCAATCGTGGTGAGGTACTAATGTTTTTATTAGTCTGCCAAGGCAGTGGAATGCATAATTCCATACACCGTTTCCATGGTTACCATGGGATGTTACCATGGAATTTCGTAGTATGCCTTGTGCGATCACGTCTAAAATTTGTGGACTCCTTCATTAGCCCCTGAGCAACAGTTTAGGGTCAAGTTTTAGGTCAATGTTAGAACAGAGGCCATGCAGCATGTCTGTGTATGATGGTCCTACCGGTAGGTCCTACCGGTAGGACCGAGGTCTATGCAAGCTATCAATAAGCCTAAGGGCCATAGGGCGCGGGGAGGTGATTGGTGTTTTAATGAACACAGGCACTCTGCTCTCCAGCATGAGTAGGACAAACAACCTAAGGAACAACTGGCACCACATGCTCATCATTGGGTGTGGCATTTTTAACCATCAGATGTACACTACGACTCTTCACCTTTGAATAATGCCATGGCGTCTCACAACCACTAGACGCGGACTCGACAAACTCACAATGACGCAATCTGACTCCTGCATTTGGTCACGAGAAGTACTGTGCATTTTGGGTGCGTCATGTGTAGGTGGTGCTGGTGCATGGGCGTCTTGTTGTTGTGTGAAAGGCAGTCTTCGTCTTCCCCACCAGACGATGCTGTTTAGTTGCACGTGATACACGCAGTAGGGACAGAGGAATTTTATAGCTACATTTTCTGGAGTGTTCTGTCTCTTTTGCCCTACGTAGGCAAATGCGCTGCCAACGGGGTCTATCCCACAATGAAAAATGGAGAGAAAAATAGAGCTCCTGTCTGTGGAAATCTAATACCCGTTCCCGACGTTACTATCGAGTGCTTCAGGAACTTATTTATTGTCCTGAAGAACGGCTTGCGTTATTCAGGCCCACTTTGTAAACGTGAGTGAAAGGATTTGCCACTTTCCGTATACTATCCCCTTGCCAACTTATTTTGCATGAACTTTCACTACACCCCTTAATTTGAAACTGCCCACCTCTCCACACTGCGCTCTTGGTCCACATTAACCACCCCATAGCGAGGAAGTTTGTTGTTGAATAGATGTTCCATACCCTCCAGACAGCTGTTTCGCTCATTGAGAGTTCCTCAGTGGAGCTAGATAACGAATGAATAGCAGATGAAGGAATTAGTAAAGGGGATAGTGAAACGCACAGTGCTGCTGGGCCATGGATACAGATGGCGCTAGATTTTGGCAGGCGCGTGAAGCAGACAATCTATTATTATGCATGCATAGACCAAGTAGCGCCAACTTCTGATTGATTTTGCTTTTGAGTTATTGATATGGTTGTAGCAATAACATTCACAAAACAGTTTCATCATTCAACTTGCTTCTGTTTGCATTGACCATTTGTGTGTGTGTGTGTGTGTGTGTGTGTGTGTGTGTGTGTGTGTGTGTGTGTGTGTGTGTATGCGTGCGTGTGCATGCGTGTGCGTGCGTGCGTGTGCATGCGTGTGCATGTGCGTGTGCATGCGTGTGCATGTGCGTGCGTGCGTGTCTGTTCTTTTTGGTTTTTGCCACACAGCCAACCAGACTGGTGAGTTAGTCTTCCTAGTGCATGCTGTTTGAAGAAATTGCTTTGCAGAAATGCTTTCGGTTGAGAATTTCTCAAACAATGTTATTCATTGATAGATCATGTAATGCGCGACCGAGTAAGTCTCAGTTAGACAGAAAAACAAGACTGAAACGGAGGGTTTCATCATTCAACTTGCTTCTGTTTGCATTGACCATTTGTGTGTGTGTGTGTGTGTGTGTGTGTGTGTGTGCATGTGCGTGCGTGCGTGTGCGTGCGTGTGCGTGCGTGTGCGTGCGTGTGCATGCGTGTGCATGTGCGTGTGCATGCGTGTGCATGTGCGTGCGTGCGTGTCTGTTCTTTTTGGTTTTGCCACACAGCCCACCAGACTGGTGAGTTAGTCTTTCTAGTGCATGCTGTTTGAAGAAATTGCTTTTCAGAAATGCTTTCGGTTGAGAATTTCTCAAACAATGTTATTCATTGATAGATCATGTAATGCGCGACCGAGTAAGTCTCAGTTAGACAGAAAAACAAGACTGAAACGGAAGGGAAGACAAAACAACAACAGCTAAACTGGGAAACTGAAAGACGGATTCATAATATTATGATTAAAGTCCACCTACAGCTCCTAGCGCTAGCTAGCGATCTCTTAAGGGCCCAGTCACACATGCACTCGAAAGTAGCGTATCTCTTAGCCTGTCAAACCCTATATTATAGGGTTTTCAGCCGCGTGTTCTATCTTGAGCTCTCTTGAGAGCCCACTTGGCTGCTATGGCAACTAGACGCCTGGGCCTACATACGTAGAATGTACGTACGGTTCTCTTGCTGAAGACCGTGATCATTTTGTTGCTGTTTTCTTCGAGTACGGTTAGTTTTAGTGCAGCGCTGTCGTAACATTTTCTAGACCCTATATCTAGGGTTTGATTTTTCACGATGGAGGAAGAGCAACTTGAGTTAGTGGAGACGAACTCGGGCGATGAGAATGTTCCTGGCGACCTGGTGTCGACTCAGGATGATGATGTCGATGTTCCAGCAGCGTCGGATGCTCCTGAAGAAGAAGGCGAAGCATCAACAGCGGCTGTCGCAGCTGCCGCTCCCGCCATTGCCGTTTCTGCATCAGCTGATCCACACGTGGGTCGGAAGCAGCAAATGCGGCGACACTCGCGCACGTCGTAGGAGCGCTCCTGCTAACATCAATGGCAATGCAGTGAAAATATCAAAAAAAAACCAAGTGAAACTGTGTGTATTGTGTGCCCAGTTGTGAGGACTGATCAAACCCTTTCTTTAGGGGTCCTAACCCTATATATAGGGTCTTTATGTGTAGCGTTATGTCAAACCCTATATATAGGGTTTCCTGGTGACAGGCTAAGAGATACGCTGAAGCGAGGTCGCAGGAGCGAAAAATGGCATGGCAACGGCGAAAAGCGGAACTTCCGCTTCAGCGGAAACTCCAATCCGCTTCCACCAAAATTTTTGAAGCGAGACTGTCGCTTCTGCGGATTCGCTTCCGCGGAAAACACCACGGTCTGCTGTATATGGACTTGCTACGAGAAATTTGTATGCGTATGATGTCCATGCAACAAAAATGCGTGGAAGATAGTCGAGACCTCGTCTATTCTCCGTACCGTATGTACCACAGTCCACTTTACTCTCATTTTTCGCCAAAGTAGGAGTTGTGCCCTGTTTGCATGTGTGACCATACACACGTGGTGTCGCTGGAGCGACACCAGGCTCGCTGCCGCCGAACCTCGTCGCCGAAGCGAAACCCCAATGCATGTGTGACCGGGCCCTTAGAGACCTGATGGTGCCAGCAATGAATAGTGCAATACATAGTGGTTTGTGTAGGAGGAAGTCCGTCTAATACAGATCATTTCAAGTTTTTCTTAGTGCTCGCAAACTTCATTGCAACTTTTATTTCACACTGTGTTCAGCTGTCTCCAGCCACAGTCTCTGTTCACACTTGGATGCCTATCACAGATGAACATTGCCTCACATATACGGCGATTCATGGAGAAAACTGTGTGGCGAGAATTGATGCGCTTGTGATGGGTAGTGCTGTTGTTTGTGGTGATGCTCGTGGTGGTGTTGCTCGTGGTGGTGTTTGTGGCACAACAAGCCATCGCCTGTTATCAGCGCTGCCACTATCCACACCAGACAGTGAGATTTTCTGCACCTTTCTTCTGCACCTTTCTTCTGTGCATTTCTTCTGAACATTCTCCAGAGGAAGTTGAATTGAATGCTCACCCACATGGAGTATACATCTCATCAAGCTACATTTCTCTAAAAACAGCTATAAATATGCAAGAAGCTACCAGCCGTTGCAGAAATGATGCCGTGGCACCCAATAAGAATACCGTTTTTGAGATCCAATGGTACAACCATTGGCCAAATATGCGAACGAATGTGAACACACTTCTGAATAACTATCTGGTAGCGATGAACAAAAACCATATCATCGTACCTGTGCACTATTCCTGGGGTGATTACAGCCATCCAGCGTCCTCAAAGAGGTGGGCGAAGTACTCGACAAATACCTTTGAAGAGCTGGCTAGTCTGCCCACGGGAGATCAGATCACCGTCCTCTGCTCAAGTAAGTGTCCCAGGTGTCGGTCGTTCTGCTCTTCTGTCTAGCTCTGCATCGGCCTTGGTGTACCTCACTCACACTCCTTGCCTCCTCCCCCCCCCCCCCCCTCCCCACCTACATTGCTGTCCATCTGTCAGGCACCAACTGGGACGCACAAGGGCCAACCAGCAACACACGGAAACCATAACACCCGCAAGGCAAACCGATACAAAGAAGCGCAGGATCCCTGCAGACCACCAGGCAGACCGTGGCTCACCATGATCAGACGCCCACGCAAACGAACTAGAGAGACCCACATGCCGAAACACAAACACAATATTACAAAACCATACGCTCACAAAAAGATTCAACCTGGATCTAAAACGAGAATCCTACATGAAGTTCACACCTCCCACCAAACCGGAAGCCACCAGCTTTCCTACTTTGTTGTCAGGGCATGACCGAGCCTGACAACGCTCTACACAGAACATGGAGAAACTACTAGTAAAAAGGTAGAAACACGAAACAAAACAATACGGAACGACTACATACGATGCAGCACATCGAGAACATTCTCTCTCTCTCTCTCTCTCTCTCTCTCTCTCTCTCTCTCTCTCCCTCTCTCTCTCTCCCTCACACACACATACACACACACACTCTCTCTCGCTCTCTCTCTCTCTCTCTCTCTCTCTCTCTCTCTCTCTCTCTCTCTCTCTCTCTCTCTCTCTCTCTCTCTCACCTACTCCGCGGACTCGCCTGCTTGAGTTGAAGTTGGCTCCAGACTACTGTACGCGAGGACTTGGCTCTCTCTCTCTCTCTCTCTCTCTCTATCTCTCTCTCTCTCTTTTTCTCTCCCTCTCTCTCTCTCTCCCTCACACACACATACACACACACACTCTCTCTCTCTCTCGCTCTCTCTCTCTCTCTCTCTCTCTCTCTCTCTCTCTCTCTCTCTCTCTCTCTCTTTCTCTCTCTCTGTCTCTCTCTCTCTCACTCTCATACACACACCCGGAGACAGGATACATACCTGGGTATGGAGCCTCACTAACTGCTGGTTCAGGTTTTGGATTGATTGTCACTTAAATTGATTGTCACTTAAATTGCACTGCACTGCCTCTTATGTTTCGTTCTGCTCAGCTATAAGGAAGAAGTAATTCAGCACCATATCAAGACCCGCTCTGAAGGAGGTACACAATCACAAGCGTACTGGGCGTGTGTGTGTGTGTGTGTGTGTGTGTGTGTGTGTGTGTGTGTGTGTGTGTGCGTGCGTGTGTTGCAGCCATCCCAGCGTCTGTCCTCTCCTCGTTTTGTCTTTCCCTCTCAGTTTCTCTCTCTCTATGTCTCTCTCGCTCTCTCTCTATGTACTTCTAAAACAATAAATAGCTAAATGGTCTCGGTCAGAGCGAGGTGTCCACCCGGTCCTAGCTCAGGGTGTTACTGCCAAAAGTGTGTGAGGTATCGCAATACTCATACTTTACATTCTACGGTAGAGAGCCCTTGTGCCGCGTGCGCTTAGATTCTTGCTTGCTTCATGGCGTATATGGACACTCTAACCTTTCTGCCCCCCCCCCCCCCTCCCCCTCTCTCTCTCCATCTCTCTATATCCATCTCTCTATTCTCTCACACCGCTCACCAATGGAAACAGCTGTTGCAGTTGTGTCATATTGTGCACACGGTTTCTGACGGTGACCTGTTGACTAGCCGTTTAGTTTGTTTGCATCTCTTCTTCTCCTTTCTTCCCCTTGCCAGCCTGCCCGCTGTCTCATAAGTACCTATGGTGGTTTGCGGGTGCTCTGCATGGCTCCATTTCCAATGCTCTGTTCTTTTTGTCCGTCATCAAGTTGAAAATGATGAGAACTCGTGCTCGCCTCAGTTTGGGGGTCGCTTGTTCGCAAATCAGACTATGGCTTGCTACGCGTTGTGGATGCCGTACGCGTGCCTGCATGTGAGTCGTTCCTGTCCCGCTTTCGTTAGCCCAGGTCGGTTCTGGTGGGTGCCTGCCGTATTATCTCTATTACAAGCGCAGTCTCTTGTAGAAGCCCAGTCTTTATCATAAGGGCACTCCAAGAGGGCTTCGAAGATACACACACAAGCGCAGTCTCCAATATAAGCGCATGGCTTATGATGGAGAACCCTATGGATCATGTTAATGCATGTTTGACGTCACACAGTATCACATAAACACATGCTGTGTAGTTTGGAGTTGACAGCACATCGAAACCACGCCTTGTCAACGACCCGTTCTTTCTCAGTTTTAACGACCACACTCAGCCAAGAACAAAACAACAACGAAGCACAACGACACACCAACGCTGATGTGGCATCGCAAATCCTGTACCGTGCACGCAGGCACTGGGTTGCAACAGAAAAAAGACGCGCTGCAAGCGTGCCAAGCAGCGAGTGAGTACAGAACGCGTACTAATGCCAGTCATGGCAACGGAAGATAAAATTATGGAGATCGACCCGCGCATGGTTCGATCGAGAGCAGAGTACGAAAAAGGCACACATTCAAACTGTGAAGAAGCAGAAGAGGAAAAACGAAAATGAACACTTGTGTCGTGAAGTGCTTCTGTCCAAGGGTGCTCGCACCCGACGGGGTGACAGCGCCCCTAGTCTGACAAATACAAGGCAAACGAAATAGAAATTAGCTGAGTCACAGCGCGGGACTCCGAAACGAAAACCGGTGAGTATGTTAATATTAATTGTTCGTACCTGCTGTACAACGTAACAATTGCTCAAATTCATAACGTAATTTCAAACTAGCACTCGTAGAATTGTAGTGCGAATGTGCCACTCGATTATAGTAACAACGACAAAGAGATACTCTTCTAAACACTGTGGTACAAGCCTGCGATCCCCGAGATCTAAAAAGCGCGGTGCTTATAATGGAGATAATTTCGGCGGCGATTTATTTTCGGCGTGGGGTAGAGGGCATGGTATAGTGCGACAGATGCTGTGAAAAATTTCATCGGCGTTTTAATTTAGGCGCTTTGAGTCGGTGCCGAATATAGCCGAAATTAAATAGCTGCCGAAAATTTGTATATTTACAGTATACAGGTTCCAGTACATGACAAGTACATGCCATTTTTACACCGATGTACATTTGTCAATGAAGTCTAGCCATAGCTTTTTGTCCCGTGCAGTGTTGAGGCAATTCTCGAGCGTGTGTTTGAGAGGGGAGATTTGTGGCCGTATTTCCATTGTGTGAACTGAAAAAGACGAAAATAAAAAATGAGCATGGTAGTGCGCTGTCTGATTTGAGGGGGGGGGGGGGGGGGCAGGGCAGGGCAGGGACATCAAAGTAGTGCCCTACGTCGGCACTCTGCTCTGACTGAATGCTGTGTGTTGGTTTCAGATTCTAGAAAGTATTTAAAACGTTGAGAATGTTATCATGACGACCGGTTAATTAACGGGCGGCTCCCGAGAAGCTGAGAATAAAGTTGTATCAGTGATCTGGGCTCGAACCAGTCCAGAGAGAGGCGCGCACTGAAGAACATGGATGTGCCATGTACGAAGTTCGAGTCCTGGTGGTGACAGTCAATTTTTTCTTCAGACCTTTCCCGTTTGTGTCCAAGCAATCGACGAGGAGACAATAGTTGTAAAAATGGCAATATATAAGGTAAATTGTGCACTCATAACAACAGCAAAAAATGAAGAAACTTAAGTTCCATAACGTTTTCTTGTGACTTTCATCAGTGGAACGCCGTCACATAAAAATGTAACAACAAAACACACACTTTAAATTTTTATACATGTAGCTAATTATTATGGTTTCAGGTAGAAGTACAGCAACCAGCAAGTACAAAAAAGCGAAGTTTGCACCATCACGATGCAAGAGCACATAACCTCACAGGCGCCCTGTATTGCCTGTACTGTATGCCGGAATGCGTGTACCATGTGAAGTTCATCCACCGTCGACGCGTCGATAGAGGGCTCAATTATGATTGTATTGAAACAGCAACTGCTCGCTCTTCTGTCTGGGTATGAATGTATGTATATGGCCATGGTAAAAAATAAAGTTGATTCTCAGGTCATGAGCCTGTGAAAATCAGTGCGAGCGAGCGATTTTTTATTTTACTTCCCACAACTTTTTTTATTTCCAAAGATAGGGTCACACATATGTGCGTCACAGGTTATTAGAATATTATTTTATTATTCATGCCAGGGAGTAGAAAACTACCGGTATTTTACTACTCCCTGATTCATGCCTTTCGCATTGACCGTTTTCAAGTGCGCATAGAAATAAAAAAATCATCGTTGCGCCGCCAAAAATCGGTGCGCGCGTACTTGAGAATCAAAGATAATTTCTACCATGGCCCAATAATGATTGTTTGAATTCGCAAGTGCACATGGGCTACAGACCCAATTATATGAACGAGGCAACTGTGAGAAAGTAACAGCGAGCACAATTCAAGAGTAAAATGAACAATTTTGCACAATGACGAGAGTAACTGAGGTCGAGGATACCTGTGGAGCGATAAAATCTGTGAATTAACGAGCCGACAAAAATAATGTACAGCGCGAAATAAAGAAATATAGAGGTCTGTGGCAAACACCCTAGTAAAATAATAATAATAATAATAATTTTATAACCGCAATCAGTAATACAAGCTGGATCGACATTTGTGTACACTGTATTCATGTATTGTAAAACTGTGGAGACCATGTGCAATAAAACGATGAAAATGTGAAGAAATTGTGTAGAGAAAAAAGGGATTCAAACAAGTTTTCGTACAACACTCGTCAGGAATCTTTGTTGTACTAAAGGACACTGAAAACAAAATTGAACTATTATAGAATATCTAAGTTAGAGAAATAACACTAAGAACAGCAGCAGTGAAATTTACAAGTGTGAATTAGATAGTATAATTGGGTTCCTTCTTTCTTTCTCTTCTTTGTTCACTTTTCAGTTGCAAGTTTAGTGTTAGTACACACATTCGTTATTGCTCTCGCTTTCATTGTTAAAATTCACACTTGTAAATTTCACTGCTGTTGTTCTTAGTGTTATTTCTCTAACTTAGATATTCTATAATAGTTCAATTTTGTTTTCAGTGTCCTTTAGTACAACAAAGATTCCTGACGAGTGTTGTACGAAAACTTGTTTGAATCCCTTTTTTTCTCTACACAATTTCTTCACATTTTCATCGTTTTATTGCACATTGTCTCCACAGTTTTACAATACATGAATACAGTGTACACAAATGTCGATCCAGCTTGTATTACTGATTGCGGTTATCAAATTGTTGTCTCCTCGCCGTTTGTTCAAATATTTTAAATCGAGATACACCCAGCCTCAGATAGATATTCTGAATCTAACGCTGAAAGCACGTTTTCATCACCGTAGTGTCGCCTTTAATGTAGGTTTTCTTAGACGATGTTTAGACAATGGTGTATGTCCTAGCGGTGTAGAAAAGCGTGTTCACCGAGCCAAGGCATACCACACGTTGAACATTGAGCGCGTTTTCATGAAGGATGAGATTGCCAGGTCCGGTGACACGGTGTGCAAGTCTCGTTCCCAGTTTAGGTCTTTGTATGATCGTGCACGTACATTTTTGTCATCTCATGACTTCCTCCGTTTCTCAGTGCTCCTTTCTGAGAACGACCAGAAAAAACGAATAAAACTTATTACCAAACATGACAAGACATATAACTGGCTCAGAAGGAAACGTTACGGCCAAGTTAACATCGATCCCGAAACAACAATAATCAACTTAACCCCATTGGAATTGACTACTGTACAGAAGGAGCTCCTTTGCCGTGGCACTGATTTTGGCGTTCCCCCATCATCAAATAAAAAGGAAGTTATCATGACCGAGTTCGAATTGTTTTATCGAAAGTTATTACGCTTTACGCCAATATCAGAGGCCCAACAATCAATATGCGCAGCAAAGATCTGAGCTGAGGCTGAGGAGCATGCGGACAAACTTCCAGACAAGCGATCATTTTCCTTAGGCCAGGAACACATGAAAGCCCTGCATGACTTCCGCAAAACACTGAAATCATCGTCACGCGCCCGGACAAAGGGCGGGCTACAGTTCTGATGCTCAGAACTGATTACATAGACAAGATGTCTGTCATCCTAAATGACACATCAAAGTTCCAGACCATCGGCCCGGTTGAAAGTTTTGATCGAACAGAGAAAGTAGAAAAAGAACTAGTAGCTTACCTAAAGAAACTGAAAGCCGACGGAGAAATATCCTCCAAAGATTTCGATCGCATTAAACCGACAGGCACGCTCCGGCCTAGGCTATATGGCTTACCAAAATACACAAGCCCACATGTCCAGTACGTCCCATCGTTTCTATGACGGCCTCGCCTCAGTATTCTATTTCCAAGTGGCTGTGTATTTACTTACAACCAGTGCAGGACCACTATTGCAAGCGCACTGTAAAAGACAGTTTTGATTTCGTCGAAAAGCTCCGCAACAAGCCTGTACCACCCAACGCACACATGTGTTCGTTTGACGTCGTCAGTTTATTTACTAATGTGCCGATTGAAGAAACTGTCGACATCTGCATGGATGTTTTGTACCGTAATGATTACGTTGACACTCCTTGGATATCTGAAAGTGCGTTTAGACGGTTGCTGTTGCTGGTCACAACTGGTGTTGAGTTTTCGTTCAACAATGTCATGTACAAACAAGTCGATGGTGTCGCGATGGGTTCGCCCCTTGGTCCAGTATTGGCAAACGTGTTTGTCGGTTACTGTGAGTCGAAGATTGATGATTCCGATGATTGTGGCCTGACCTTTATGTACGTTTCGTGGACGACTCATTCACATATTTTGATAATGAGGAGCGTAGTAACGAGTTTCTTGACGTGTTAAATGGTATTCACCCTGCCCTTCGTTTCACATGTGAGCATGAACAGTCCAACAAGTTGTCATTTCTAGATGTGCTGGT